CATTCAGTGGGAGTGTGTTTGGCTTTGTACCTGTATTCTTGCTCTGTTCATTTGTTATTTATGTTGCCCTTTCCATTTCATTCAGGGCTTAAAATTACCAGGCACCATGCCTGAATTCTAACTATATTAAGATTGTAATAATAATTATTATGTTATTATATTATTATTATACTATTGTTCTTATTGTATTATATCAGTATTGTTGTTGTTATGATTCAATAAACATCTTGAATGGAATCTTATCATTGTATGTAGTTATATAATTGTAATAACAATAATCCCCATATTTCCATATATATCTTTACAAATTACATATATTCCAGAACATGTGCTTCAACTGGGAGCAGCAAAATCTGGTAGCTCTGAGTTTTTACTCAACCTTGCTATTTTGTTGTGTTTGTATGTTTTGTTGTGTCAACTACTGATGGATACTTCTGTGGGGAGAGGAGATTCAGGAGAGGAGCTTCTGTCACTGAAAATGGAGAAAATGTGGAGGATGCCACCCTGTTCCAGCTGGATGAGGAGGTGCTTTTGTGGTCGCTGTGCTGGTGGTGCAGAGGTTAAAGGCTGGAAGTGGAGATGTACTGTAGGTCCTTTCTGCTGTCAGTCATCACGCAAAATATCAACTCTGTGCCCAACAGGAGTGATGAGGGGCTGGAGATAGGTGAAGACTCAGAAGACATTTTTTCAAAATCAAAACAATACTTGTGTACATCCCACCAATGGCTACTGCTGAAGTTCCATGTGAAGTTCTCCATGAAACAGAAATAGAAAATAGAAATAGAAATTACTAGCCCCCTCTTCAGCCAGTGAACACTTGTGGAGTGGACATCAAGATGGTGACAACCTATAAATATCTAGGTGTTCACCTTGATAACAAGTTGGACTGGTCTGTTAACACAGATGCACTCTACAAAAAAGGGCAGCAGAGCAGCAAGAAAGCACAGATCTCTAAACATCTGAATAAGATGCTGCAGATGTTTATCAGTCTGTGGTGGCAAGTGTTTATTAATGCTGCAGTCTGCTGGGGAGGAAGTTTAGGAAAAAAGCAGGCAAAGAGACTGGATAGCTTGTCATGAAGGCTGGCTCTGTCATTGGAGTAAAGATGGACTCTCTGGGGGAGGTGGTGGAAAGATACACAATGAGGATGGTGGAGGCCATCCTGAACAACACGGATCATCCACTTCATAACACCTGATGGATCAAAGAAGCAGCGGTGGTGGACGGCTCCCATCTCTTCGGTGCAGGACAGAAAGATACGGTAGATCTTTCATACCCACAGCCATCAGACTGTTTAATTATTAAGCAATGGTTGATGAGCTGACAGACAAATGAATTTCCTTTTGTGGATGAATAAAGTAATTTGTATTGTATTGTATTTGTCATATTCGCATCACATTAATTGTCACAAATTCCTTAGTTTGGCTCTCTTCTAACCTTTCTAACCATTGTTCATTGCTGTTTGAAACAACAACATTGTTCATTCTCATAAGGATTTGGGTGTTAGTGTGACAATTTGAATTTAAAGTAGTCAAAATATGATCGTAACAAGCTCAGAACAAACGAGATTCGATACCGCGTGCTCAGGGTGCATTTAGCTATATATGGTAGCTTTATATCAACCAATATGCACAGCTTTTGGCGCAGTCGGTAGAGCATGAGACCCTTAATCTCAGGGTTCGAGCCCCACGTTGGGCATCGTGGGATTTTAAAAGGGGCCAAGAGTACAACAAATAGCTGTTCTCAGATGTCTCTGGTATTCTGTTCTCCTCACCTTATTTGATAGGTTCTGCTCAGGTTACCATACCACAGCATATTTAACTCTCACGGATGTGTTGATTAAGCTGGCATTTGTTTTGAGGCGAAAGGTCCAAGGTCAGGAAAGGTCCGACATGCTCAGTCGGTAGAGCATGAGACTCTTAATTACAGGGTCGTGGGTTCAAGCGCTGTAGGCTTTGAAGGAGTAAGGAAACCAACAGGTATCGTGCACCAAGACTCTTGCGCCATGTTCTCAGTACTCTGCTACGAATGACATTGATGACATGTTGAAAGAGCTGCAGGGCACCCTGAGGTGCTTGAATCTTAGCCCAATGGAGAGCTCCGGGCCAGTTAGCATGTGGCGGAATTGGTTCAAGGCTCTTGATCTCAGTAAGGTCAAGACTAGGTGGTTGAAGTATTGGAAATGCGCAGCAAAAAAAAAAAAGAAAAACATACCAGCTCGTCACAGGTAGGCCACCACTCATCAAGTCAGAATCTAGCAGATTTACGCAGAGCCGTGGCCTTTTACTTAACCACTCTCCCCCTTGATGGACGTTTAAGCACAGTTTTGTGAGCCACTCTTCAATGCAAACCGGAACAACTGAGCACAATGCCATCCCTTCGATAGCAGAGTGTCTGTAAGTCTCTCCAATCACGTTGCCCCATTTCATCTTTCTCGACCTTTGCTGTCAGCCAATCACTGTGGTCCTTTTCCAAAATTGGTGGGACGGACCAATCGCGGCCCACCATTTCTAAAGCTGGGGAACAATCGTCTGTCAAAGAAGGGGAAGAAGGGGAAGAACGAAAAACAGAGAAAAGGGAAGATGAAGGGGACAAAGTGGAAAAGAAAGGAAAGGAACTTTTTTGTCCATATTAATGTATGTCTAGCTGTCTCATGACAAATATGAAACTTTAATATTTTGGTGTTTTGCACTACCCATGGACGGATTTGAACCGGTGACTTTGGAATTTCTTTACTTGACCTCAGAATCATTAACTGGCACAATTTTCAGTTAATACCGTGTCATAGGATAAGAGTATACTTAACACTTCCGAAAATTGTCTTTTACAAATGGTATTTTCTGAGTACCATGTTATGATATCTGTAATTGAGCACTTGTCATAGACAATTGTTATATTTCATTTCAGCATTATTGCTGTGGAGCTGTTTCAAGCACCACGGCTCATTTAAAACAGTTAGAAAGGCCAAGGCAAGGCAACTTCTATTTGTAAGCCCATTTTACAAACAGTTTGTCTCAAAGGGCTTTAGACAATATCATGACAAACATCCTCTGCCACTTAGACCCTCATATCTACTGAGGAAAAACTCCCAAGGCCCTTCTAACAGGTAAAAAAATGGAGAAACCTCAGGGTGCATGCAACAGAGGAGGGATCCCTCACCCACGACGGGCAGACGTGCAATGATGTTGTATGCAGACAACGAAAACAATTTACAACATGGCCTATGGAAACATGGGAATGGAATCAGTCAGTTCCCGAAAAAATGAAGGCAGCTCCTGGTGGGCAGGGAGATAAGGCCAGCTAATGGGGCACTGGACGGCGGACATGGTCGTGAGCAGGGAGGCAGGCCGGTTGAACACCAGAGAAAGGAGGTGATAAGGCCAGCGGTTGGTTGGTTGGTGCAGGGGGATGGAGCTCTGAAGAGATCCCTGGTCTACAGAGAGAGCGAGACACCAAGGCTTTCTACAAATGCCCTTTCTATGGCAGTTCAAAATGTGAGGGGAAGGAGCAGGATTCTACTCGGCTGAGGACGGAAGCTACCTTTTGAAAAGTCCATCCCCCCACCCACACAGTTTTCTGACTCAGTGAGCAGGTTTTCTGCCCACTGAGATCAGGAGCAGACCTTCAGCCTAGCCAGTGTGAATGCAGCAGAAACTAGAGGAAGGGGTTCAAGCCTAGACTCCACACATTAGAAACTTTGTCTGCCTTTCTGAACCATTGTGACAGGGAGATACCACTTGAATGGAATGTGCCCGGTGGGGCTTGAACCCAGGACCCTGAAATCAAGAGTTGAGAGGAAAACACCTCGCCTCAAAAACAAAACGCCAGCTTATTCTGTGTGAGTTAAATGTGCTCTGGTATGGTAACCTGAGCAGAGCCTATCAAATAAGGTGAGGAGACAGAATAAGAGACTCTGAAATAAGCTAGTTGGATCTTGAGCCCATTTAAAATCCTACAAACCAACGTGCTGGAACCCACGATGAGAAGAGATAGTGCTCGCTTCTGAGCTAACTCTACCAGAAATCCCAAAAGCTGCAGCAAAAGGTATCAGCACTTGAGCACTTCAGGAGGTCATGATCAGATTAACAAAACTGTAAAGTCGGTGATGGCAGACCCCCTGTCTCCAAAGTGTGCTCCATCTCTCACTCACCAAGACAGAACATCTCGTCAATCTTAGCTAGTATGGCAGGTGCAAGAAAAAACTCTAACCACATGTTGATTGACCATACTGAGAGTAAGAGCCTTTGACAATTTTACCACAATTCCTCCATGGGTAACTGGAGTCTAAGAGCTTGTGACATCCAATAACCAATCTGGGTGGAGTCTATGTCCCTTGTGCTTTCCAAGATACACCTTTGTTTTGTCAAGTCAGTACTTGTTCAGAAGTTGAGCACATGACAGCAAGTGATTTGCATGTCCCCAAGACAGTTTTTGCCTTTGACGAGAGTCAGCAGAAAAGACAGACCCTTTGTCCTTAGCCGAGTTGAACCAGCGACCTAAGGATAACTGAGTGCCTACAGTCCTTCCCCTGAGCTATCGGGAGCAGCATGCTGCACAGTTGTTCCGGTTTTGCATTGAAGAGTGGCTCAACAAAACTGTGCTTAAACGGCCATCAAGGTGGAGAGTGGGTTAAGGTAAAAGGCCACGGCTCTTGCTGTAAATCTTTTAGATTCTGACTTGATGAGTGGTGGCCTACCTGCGACGAGCTGGTATGTTTTTCTTTTTTTTGCTGCGCATTTCCATCCAAATACTCCAACCACCAAGTCTTGGCCTTACTGAGATCAAGAGCCTTGAACCAATTCCGCCACATGTTAGGAGTCTAACTGACCCGGAGCTCTTCATTGGGCTAAGATTCAAGCACCTCAGAGTGCACTGCAGCTCTTTCACCATGTCGTCAATGTCATTCGTAGCAGAGCACTGAGAACATGGCGCACGAGAGCGAGCCCCTTTGCAGCTCTTGGACCGGTTGGTTTCCTTACTCCTTCAAAGCCTACCTACGATGCCCAACGCGGGGCTTGAACCCACGACCCTGAAATTAAGAGTCTCATGCTCTACCGACTACCGACTGAGCTAGTCGGGCTTTTCCTGAAGGAAAACACCTCGCCTCAAAACAAAACGCCAGTTTAATCAACACATCTGTGAGAGTTACATGTGCTCTAGTATGCTAACCTGACCAGAGACTATCAAATAAGGTGAGGAGAACAGAATACCAGAGACAACCAGAGTCATGAAGCCATTGCCTTTTATAAATGCCGATTTTGTCCATTCCCTGTGCAAATAAAATGTGAGTGAACCTCACTTGTTAAGTGCTTTAACGTAGGCATTAAATCCGGTTGGACCACGCGGTGACAGACCGCAGCATTGCCCAGCGGTTCCATGGTGTAATGGTTAGCACTCTGGACTCTGAATCCAGCGATCCGAGTTCAAATCTCGGTGGGACCTGACTGTTTGGAAGTCGCACGTCATGAAGGCTGCCTCTTCTCTGGCGTTGCAATTCACCCCCCTTCGTCAGCACCTGCCTGAAATCACTCATTGACTCCCACCGCTTTTCTTCACCTTAAATGTAAATCTAATGTTGCTTTGTGCTCACTGACTCATTTGCAGGTGATGTCATTCCCTGCTTTGGCTCACGTGATGGGTTCGACATACCTTGTGTAGTCAGGATGGCCGAGCGGTCTAAGGCGCTGCGTTCAGGTCGCAGTCTCCCCTGGAGGCGTGGGTTCGAATCCCACTTCTGACAGCCCGTGCTTTTCCCACATGCTGATCCCTGTGAGGTGGTATGCTCTTCAAGTGGGTGAATGACAGTACGCATTATGGAGGATTTAGTCAAGCAGAAGCAAGGAAAATGACTATCCCTTTGCTGCTCTTTCTTGCATCGATACATTACCAGCGTGTCCTTGTCATATAACAAGCCAAACATCCGGAAAAAGATATTGTGCTATCAATCAGGAGGGTGATCCGGTAAAATGGAGCGTGTTGTGCTGTTGGGAATCAAACCCAGGCAAAGGAAAAGGCTCCTTGCATTGGCCGGGAATCGAACCCGGGCCTCCCGCGTGGCAGGCGAGAATTCTACCACTGAACCACCAATGCTTACGTGACCCTGGTCCCTACCACTTTGCCGCCACGGGTCACAGACATCTCATGAACTGGCTTTTACGGGCTCATGTCTGTTTCTTTCAAACAGGTATCACTAAGCTCGGAAAGGATGTTGCTTTTGTTTCATCCCGGATGTCTTGCAGGATACGAGCTACACGTCCACGCCAGCCGTTTTAAACATGGGTGTCATCCCAAACCGGGAGACGGGGCGGAGAAATCAGTGACCAAAAATATCCTCTGCCTCCCAAAACAACGCACTTTCAAAGACCTAACAGTAACTGGCCACAACCACTTTAACAGCAGAACCGTCTCAGAGGAATAACAGGAAATCAAGCACGTCCGACAACTGGCGTTTACAAATGGTCTCAGCTGAGTCCAACAACTCTTAATGTCTGTCTGGCTTTGTAACCACCCCACACTTGGATAACCATGAACAAGATGACTGAGAATCTCAAAGAGCCAGAGCCATTAAGGGCGGTTCAGAGAGATTCTGACTTCTTAGACCACTGCTCCTTCTACACAGTGAGAAAGGCCCAGGGCGTTCTCTGAAGGGGCCATCACACTCCTTCAAACTGGCCCTTCTACACAGTGCAAAGGGGCGAGTGCATATGACTGCACACCACTACAGAAAAGATACGCATGTGCAACAAAGCACTGCCCCGTGTGAGGCTCGAACTCACGACCTTCAGATTATGAGACTGACGCGCTGCCTACTGCGCCAACGAGGCCCGCATCGCAGAATGAGTAGATGAGTAAAATCAAGAGGAAGTCCCGACATAACGCGCATGCAAAACACAGGCTGCCTCTCCGTCAAGAGTGGGCCTGCCGTAGCTCTGGAGATAAGCCCAGCTAGCATGAGTCACTGGAGGGTTGTTGCGGAACATGGCACTGAGGTGAACGCTGCCACAGAATCAGGGGTTTCGCCCAGAGCCAAGGCTACCTAATCGCTAAGTACCGAGCGGTGACTAAGGCTTCTTCTGGTCTGAAGTATGGTTTGGATGGGCCGGGAGTCGAACCCTGGTCTCCCGCGTGCCGGGCGAGAGCTCTACCACTGAAACACCAGTGCTTTCTTCCTGGGCCCTTTTCTTCTGCATCCCAGAAGGGTCCTCTGAACAGGCCATTCTACTCTGGCTGTGTGACGGAAGCTACCTTTTGAAAAGTCCATCCCCGCCACCACACACAGTTTTCTGACGTCAGTGAGAGAGGGAGGTTTTCTGCCCACTGAGTTTCTATGAGCAGACGTTCACACCTATTTGCCAGTGTGAATGGCAGCAGAAACTAGAGGAGAGACAGGGTTCAAGCTTCTCTCCCCAACTCCACACAATTATTGAACACTTTTAGTCATCACTTTTGCTGAACATTGTGACTGCCAGGGAGATACCACTTGAGGAATGCAAGGAATGCACAATGCCCAACGTGGGGCTTGAACCCAGGACCCTGAAATCAAGAGTTGAGAGGAAAACACCTCGCCTCAAAACAACAAAACGCCAGCTTAATCAACACATCTGTGTGAGTTAAATGTGCTCTGGTATGGTAACCTGAGCAGAGCCTATCAAATAAGGTGAGGAGAACAGAATACCAGAGACATCTGAAAACAGCTAATTGTTGTACTCTTGTGCCCCTTTTAAAATCCCACAACGCCCAACGTGGGGCTCGAACCCACGACCCTGAGATTAAGAGTCTCATGCTCTACCGACTGAGCTAGCCGGGCCTTGAGCCCAGCCAAAACACCTCCCTTCGCAACCAGACGCTGGGTCATACAACGCACTCATGATAGTTAGCACGCTTCAGTGTGCTAACTCTACCAGAAATGATCCCAAAAGCTGAGAGCAACAGAGTATCAGACACTTGCCTGCTTGCTGGAGGTCATGATCAGATTAACAAAACCTGTAAAACTCGGTGATGACAGACCTCCTCGTCACTCCAAAGTGGAGCTCCATCTCTCACTACCATGAAAGAGCCTCATGCTCCGCCAACACTAGCGTAGAATCTTAGCTAGTATGGCTTTTGTTGTGCATTTCCAAAAAACTCTAACCACCAATGTACGGCTTGACCATACTGAGAGTAAGAGCCTTTGACAAGTTTTACCACATATTCAATCCATGGGTAAGGAGTCTAATTTGCGCTTGTGCTAACATCCAAGATAACCCACCACCTAGGACCCATTTCAGCTCCTTTATCATGTTTTCCATCTCACTTGTGTCCAAGGAGTCCACTGAGCACATGTTCTCCAACAGCAAGTGGATTTGCATGTCCAAAAACAGACATTGTTTTTGGTTTGAACAAGTCAGTTTTTGGTTACAGACCCTTTGGACGAGAGGTAGCAGAAAAGACCCCAACGAAAAGCTTGTCCTTCGAGCCGGAGTTGAACCAGCGACCTAAGGATAACTGCCCTGTAAACCTACAGTCCTCCGCTCTACCAACTGAGCTATCGAAGGAGCAGCATGCTGCACAGTTGTTCCGGTTTTGCATTGAAGAGTGGCTCAACAAAACTGTGCTTAAACGGCCATCAAGGTGGAGAGTGGGTTAAGGTAAAAGGCCACGGCTCTTGCTGTAAATCTTTTAGATTCTGACTTGATGAGTGGTGGCCTACCTGCGACGAGCTGGTATGTTTTTCTTTTTTTTGCTGCGCATTTCCATCCAAATACTCCAACCACCAAGTCTTGGCCTTACTGAGATCAAGAGCCTTGAACCAATTCCGCCACATGTTAGGAGTCTAACTGACCCGGAGCTCTTCATTGGGCTAAGATTCAAGCACCTCAGAGTGCACTGCAGCTCTTTCACCATGTCGTCAATGTCATTCGTAGCAGAGCACTGAGAACATGGCGCACGAGAGCGAGCCCCTTTGCAGCTCTTGGACCGGTTGGTTTCCTTACTCCTTCAAAGCCTACCTACGATGCCCAACGCGGGGCTTGAACCCACGACCCTGAAATTAAGAGTCTCATGCTCTACCGACTACCGACTGAGCTAGTCGGGCTTTTCCTGAAGGAAAACACCTCGCCTCAAAACAAAACGCCAGTTTAATCAACACATCTGTGAGAGTTACATGTGCTCTAGTATGCTAACCTGACCAGAGACTATCAAATAAGGTGAGGAGAACAGAATACCAGAGACAACCAGAGTCATGAAGCCATTGCCTTTTATAAATGCCGATTTTGTCCATTCCCTGTGCAAACAAAAATGTGAGTGAACCTCACTTGTTAAGTGCTTTAACGTAGGCATTAAATCCGGTTGGACCACGCGGTGGATCAGCGGTTCCATGGTGTAATGGTTAGCACTCTGGACTCTGAATCCAGCGATCCGAGTTCAAATCTCGGTGGGACCTGACTGTTTGGAAGTCGCACGTCATGAAGGCTGCCTCTTCTCTGGCGTTGCAATTCACCCCCCTTTCGTCAGCACCTGCCTGAAATCACTCATTGACTCCCACCGCTTTTCTTCACCTTAAATGTAAATCTAATGTTGCTTTGTGCTCACTGACTCATTTGCAGGTGATGTCATTCCCTGCTTTGGCTCACGTGATGGGTTCGACATACCTTGTGTAGTCAGGATGGCCGAGCGGTCTAAGGCGCTGCGTTCAGGTCGCAGTCTCCCCTGGAGGCGTGGGTTCGAATCCCACTTCTGACAGCCCGTGCTTTTCCCACATGCTGATCCCTGTGAGGTGGTATGCTCTTCAAGTGGGTGAATGACAGTACGCATTATGGAGGATTTAGTCAAGCAGAAGCAAGGAAAATGACTATCCCTTTGCTGCTCTTTCTTGCATCGATACATTACCAGCGTGTCCTTGTCATATAACAAGCCAAACATCCGGAAAAAGATATTGTGCTATCAATCAGGAGGGTGATCCGGTAAAATGGAGCGTGTTGTGCTGTTGGGGAATCAAACCCAGGCAAAGGAAAAGGCTCCTTGCATTGGCCGGGAATCGAACCCGGGCCTCCCGCGTGGCAGGCGAGAATTCTACCACTGAACCACCAATGCTTACGTGAC